GAGGAGGCCGCGGGGACTGGAGGCGAGGCCGGCTGGGCCCCCGCAGCCATGGAGAACGCGCACACAAAGACGGTGGAGGAGGTGCTGGGCCACTTCGGCGTCAACGAGAGCACAGGACTGAGCCTGGAGCAGGTCAAGAAGCTCAAGGAGAAATGGGGCTCCAACGGTAGGTGCCCGGCGCCGGGGGTGCAGGGGCCCCGCGCGGCTCGGCGCGGGCCCGAGAGCCAGGGAAGATGGCTGACCGGGCTCCACCTCGTGGGTTTCGGCTCCGCGCCCGCCGAGGGCTGCAGGCGGCGGGTTGAGCCCGCGCGCCCGCCCTGCGGGAGAAGGCTTGCAGGCGGGGGCCGCTGGGGTCGGGTCTGCGCTTCCTCTCGACCTCCTCGTGGTTCCAGCGTGGTTCCAGCCCTTGACCTTCTCCGCACGCGGCTAGCTTGGCGGCCTCTCACCAGCAGCAGCTGGCCCCGGCGGAGGGAGGGATGAGTCTCCTGCAGCTGGATTCAGCCCTGCGAGACATTTTCTCGTCCCCAGCCGGTTTATGAGGCGTCACTAGTTGAGAATGCCTCTGACGGTTCCTGTACTACCCAAACTTGCACATCTGGCTGAAGTGATGACAGAGCTGAAATGACTCCTTGTTTCAGGAGCCCTGTTTAGGTGGCCATGAGATTCCACGTTTTGGAGTAGACCGATGCAACAAATACTGCATTTTTTTCTTGGGGTACTCTTTTAGTATGGTTTACATTAAAAATGGTTGAATGTTCATATACCTAGGTATCTCTTTGAAAAGACAGTGATAATTTAATAATTCTTTTTGTAAGGACAGTGCTAAAATGTTTTTTCCCCTCCTCCTTTTGACATGTTGCTTGGCGGATTTCTACATTCTACAGAGTTACCGGCTGAAGAAGGTAAGTAATCATAACATGTTTTTACCACCCCCCACTTTGTGCTGATTGTTAAGATGACATTTACAACAAATATGTTTGTTTCTAACAGGAAAAACCTTGCTGGAACTTGTAATTGAGCAGTTTGAAGACTTACTAGTTAGAATTTTATTGTTGGCAGCATGTATATCTTTTGTAAGTATAAAAAAATTTATTTTCTCCCACAAAAGTTGAGAATATATATACCTAGATGGAAAACCAGGAAACTAATGTCTGTTGAGTGCGAGCATTATATTTGGAGGTTTATTTATTTTAATTGGGGGAGGTGATTAGGTTTACTTATTTATTTTTAGAGGAGGTACTGGGAATTGAACCCAGGGCCTTGTGTATGCTAAGCATGCGCTCTACTACTTGAGCTATACCCTGCACCCTGTATTTGGAATTTTAAGCTGTGTCTTCATGTGTTGTAGTGGTGTTTTTCGGTTTTTTGGAAAACCTAGGTATTTTAAAATTAGAAACAAAGCATTTGAAGCCATTCGTGCACAGAAAATAAATGGATGCCTGAAATTTACGGTGCAGTTAGAAATTATATCCAAATGTGGCAAGGTCTTGTAAATTCTTGTGGTTTATCAGCCTTTAATATCAAAAAGTTCTTTATTGGAAGGCCTTTTCTGTTTTGAGTTCTTCCATTGTGTAAGATCATACTAAGATGATGTTGGACTCTTTGTAGTCTGTAAATAGAACTTACAAAAGGAATATTCCAGTTGCTCTCCCTTCCTGGTAATGGCAAGGTGACAGTTGTTTCTGACAGTGACAAGAATGATGACGGCAGTGATGGCACTATTGTTGACCAAATTTGGTCACTGACCTTTAGGGTGGTATATTTATCTAAACTGGACCCCTGTCTTGAGTGACTCCTAGGTTGAGAGAACAAGGTTCAGTACAGTTAGTTCTAGATCTTAAAAGAAAAAAAAAGCATAATAATTTTTCTTGTTTTGTATGTACTTACGTGCTTGAGTCCTGTATGGTTGCTAAGAAACTAGTGAAATGCAGAGAACTACAGCAGAAGAAAGGTGATGGGGGTTGGCAAGGATATTTCTAGGTTATTAACATTTATTTTCTGTTCAGTATTTTTTATTGCTTTTTTTTCTTGGGCAGTGAACTACGAAGTTTTCCTTAAAATGGTCATGAATAGGATACAGATGTCCCTAATTCTAATAGCATGAGATGCCTTTTGTTCTTAAATTACAGTATTTTATTTTTATAAAAACCAAGGTGGGAAGTGACACTTGGTGCGATACTTTTTCAGGCTTTGCAAGATTGACAGCTTCAAAGTTACATTTTTGTATGTTTGTTGTATGCAGGCCCCAGGGATTTACCTCAGTCCTTATTGACAACCATACCATAGAGGGCTATTTTGAGAACTAAATAAACAAAGCAGTGGGCATTTCTTTACTTTATGTAAAGGAAAAAAATTGACAAGAGGTGAACTTTTTGGAAAGTTTCTGTACACAGTTTCTGCCATGAGACTTTAATATATCGCACCATGTTAGCCAAGGGATGTGTAGCCATTAATAATTAATTTCTGATGAATCTTTTCTGTGGTTTTCATTGAAAAAAATTGAGAGTATCATAGCAAACCACTCAGTGTCTTGAGTTAATCACTCCACACCTTTTATATGTCTGTTTTTCTTGATTAATTTTAAAAAATCCTCAATGACCGCTGTTTTACCAGCTAAGATGCAGGAGTGGAGCCATTTAATTGATTCCATGTAGTTTCCATACATTGTCATGGGACAAAACAGATATGTTTGCACTAGTATATTTATATTTAAGCTGGCTACAGAATTCTAAGGTAGTCTCAACTTTCGTGGTTTTAATACTGTGGTTCAGTAAGGTCTTTGGAGACCTCTTGGAAGGTAATCAGCTGGGGTATACATGCCACAGATAAAATAAATTTTTATTGAGTTACCATGTGTGTGTGTAACTGAAGGCAGTGTTGTAACATCAGTGGCATCATTTCCAGTAAACAAGCTGTTGACTATTTGGGTTATATAGGATCTCAAGTGGCCGGTTTGAGTGACTATATTAATACTTGAAGTAATGATGTGATTTTTTTTTTTTTTTTTTTTTTTTTACTTTGAAGGAAGGCGCTTATAGCTTCTAGGCATTTCCAAATGGGTTTTAAAATAAATGCTGTAATTTTGTTGTAGGATGTTGGCCTTTTACAGCTTTATACAGCTGTGTTTTGGAGTTGAAATTTGAGTTACCTTTTTGGTAACTACATGGAGTTACTGCTTAGGAAGTGAACTGCGTTACATTTTTACTTTATGGGTTGCTAAACAGAAAGATATAAACATTTATTGTTTCGGGAGTACTGTTGCTTAATTTACTTTGATTTGTTTGATCTAGAAATTGCGATGTGAAACTTGTTTCATTGATTCTGATTGTCACATGGGTTTGGCACTATTGCTGCATCGTACTTTACCTTTTCATTCCTCATTTCTTTATCTTTCAAAAGAGCAGAGTCTTTTTTGTGGTAGTCAGTTTACTCTTCCTTGACAGGAACAATACGGTAAAGTATACATGTTCTTTTAGAGGAGCAAATGGGCAGTTTTTATAATCTATACATGACGCATCATCAGGTTCTGCTCAAGTTAAAGAGAAATACGAGGCTTTAATGGTTTATTTTAAATATCAAACTAAGTAGTAAACTGTTAACCATAGTTAATATTTTGCTGTGGCAGAAAGTAGGAAACAACTTTAATATTTTACACTTGTGACCTGTAGGGATAAAGTTTAATTAACTTGTAATAGTCACCAAGATAGTTATTTTGTTTTTTAAGGTCTCTTGGATTGGAAGAAGTGACCTATATATCTCCCATTTGTATATGAAGTAACGTTAGAAATTCCTTAAGGTCCTTTCACGACCTTTCTATCCTTTCACTCTGTCTTTCTGTCCTCCCTGGTCACCAACTTTGCCCTTCATAACACATCCTATGGTTGCTTAACTGGAAGGATTGTTCTTTCGCTGCTTCATTAGCCTTTAGTACATGGCACAGACACTGGGGAACACAGCATTGAACAAAACAGTCTCTTACCTGGAGCTGACATTCTAGTGGAGACAGATAAGAGTAAAATATATAAGTGCTTTGGAGAAAAAATAAGGTGTTGGAGGAGGGCAGTGGTAGAACAGGGGAGTTGGGAGGACTGAGTGTAATTCTCAGATATGGTGGTTAGGAAAGGCCTCCAAGGTGACATTTACCTGCAGGAGGCGAGCGTGAGGATCTTGTCTCATTTGTCTGAATCATAAAGTCCTTTGTGGTAACACAATTTGCATAAGTTTCTCTACCCTCCACCCTGATTTCCCCACCTCAGCCTCATGGATTGACTAAACGCTGATAAAACTTTCTTAGACCAACAAACGCACTTCTCAGCTTTCATTTACATTTGAATAATTTCTTTCTTCCTACTGGATTTTTTTTTTTAATGTTTCATTTTTTGTATTCTTTTTTAATCGAAGTATAGTCAGTTTACACTGTTGTGTCAATCCTACTGGACCCTTTAAAGGGATTCTTAATGCCTTTTTAGAGTCTCAGTGCTTTTGATATAACAATTGGATGAGATTGTAGCATTTTCAAAATACATGAGATTCATTTACTTTGGTTTTCTCAGATATATTCAGGAAGCATTTGATAATGCGATTTAAATTTTTTTGTGTGTTTCTTTTAATTTCTTATTTTAAAAACGGGATAAAATGGGCAGTTTACTGATTGGTATAAGTAATTTATTTACAGCCTTTCTTTAAAATATGGTTTGAAAGGTGAATGTGTATGGAGTTTTTTCTTTGTTTTGTTTGAAGAACAAAGTCAAATTATTGAAGTGTCTTCACATAAGCTTTGTGTCTGGATCAAAAGAGAATATATAGCCTAATTCATACTGTTTTCAATTACTGGAAGAATTTTTGTTTCTCATCCCAGAAAATTGCCATAACGCTGGTGATACTTTCCTTGTGAAACGTTTAATTTCTATTTCTTCTTACAAAATTTTTTCCGTGTGATTTCTTCCTTCATTGAACAAGTGTTTGTGTGCCTGAAGGTATTGCAGATTTCGAAGGATACAAGGAGGAATGCAGACCTCAGATACGTTTTAAGACCCTCAATTTTAAGATTGTGCTTATGATCTTTTTCTTTTTATGGTCTTGTTAAGAACTCAGCACATTATCATAGATTACTGAGTGACAGTACCATGATTGTCTCCTAGTTTACACCAGAACCTGCCTTTTACGTTGGGTTAAAATTTGCTTAGCTCATTAAACTCTGCTCTCTAGCATCTTTTGGCTGTACTGTCAGAAATTACCACAATGTATGCAGATGAGTCTTACACATATAGCAATTAGAGGATACCCTCGCCTAGCAGGTGGTTACTTTGAATAGGATTGACAAGTTTGAAACTTTGAACTTGCTGAATAATGTAAGCCCCAGAAGTACTGTTACTGTATTAACAGTGCAAAGCAAAGAAAGAAAAAACATTTTGTGCCTACAGTTATACTGCAATGGCCCTTCCTTCCACTCCCCTTTGATATTGTTGATGAGGTTGGTTACCTTTTTGCTCTTTTAATTAGTTCACATACTGCCAGGTAGGAACTTGTACCTTAGACATTGTATGAGATTTTGTTTAATTCATTCATGCATCTATTCAGTAATAATGTAGTGAGCATCAGCTATGTACCGGAGACTCTTCTAGGCCCCTGGGGATAGTGTAGAGCAAAAGGAAATGCAAACAAATAGTCCGTCATATTCAACCTGTTCTCAATAAAGATTTTTTAGAAACATTCTCTCTCCTCTCCCCTGTATAAATATGTTTTGTATAACTTCTGGTAAACTGTAATTATGAGCTGTCTGTATTATAATGCTAGTAAGACATAACGTGCCACTCATCCAGCTTTCCTCTTCTTTTCGCTATACCCTTCCTCATCTCATGAGAGTCATTCATTTGTCGGCATAATCTTCCCTTCTACTTAAGAGGTTTTCTTTTCAATAGAAGAAAACCGTGAAGGACTGCACAGTGTGGTTTGAACATGATTGACTGGATTGGTTCTTGGCAGTAAATGAAATATGGTTGGTCTTCATTTTTAGTTAATTCTTTGGGTTATTTGTGGGTTTAAAAATAGATTTTTTTTAAGTATTTGGAAAATTGGTAGTTGTCAGTGTTAAACAGGTTCAGCATCATCCTTCCACACTAAGAAATTTGCCCACTAGTTTCTTATCAAGCAGTTAATTACACATTCTTCAGAACCTTTGAAGAACTGTGAGTGCCTGTGTTTCTTACACATAAACATTTGAAGTCATAGGGGGCGAGGGGAAGGTATAGCTCAAGTGGTAGAGCGTGTGCTTAGTGTGTACAACAAGGTCCTGGGTTCAATTCCCAGTACCTCCTCTAAAAATAAACAGACCTAATTACCTGCCCCCCACAATAATAATTTTTTTTAATTAAGTCGTAGGGGGAGAAAAGGCTCTTATTTTGTACAAATGAGGGTTGTTATGTTGTTGATGAATATCACTTAGGCAAAGGAACCGCACATTTCTTAGAAGGTAGAGATTTGCCTTGATAATCCTGTCACTGCTTGCCTTAGTCTTTTCCTTTGCTCCAGCTGGTACAGGATATTGCTTTAAGTTTGTTCCTCAGGCCTAGCTGCCAAGAGGGAAATTCATTCCCGCTTTAACAAGGTGTGAAGCTTATCTTACAGTTGCTAATGCCTCACTGACCTTTTGGAAAGGTCCTAGTTACTCTTCAAGTTGAGCAATTTTTCTCCCCCAAGAGCTAATTAAGTTTCTTATTTCTGATATGCTCTCCTTGGCAAGTGTTCGAAAGGCTAGTATCAAAGCAGCTGTGATCTTGCATCTATCAAAATTTATAACTTCCTAGAGAAGTTTTCATTCTGGCATTAGGCCTGGCCTTAACACCAGGAATGCCCTGCTGAAAGCTTGCAGCAACATTTGTATTAATTCTGGTTTTCTGCCTGCTTTGGTTCATTAGCTGTCAGTAGTGATTGGCATCTGCCAGGACCCGGTCCTTGTGTCTCCTGGTTTCTTTCCTTCGCAAATTGGTATTTCTTGTTAACTCATTGTTACCCTCTTTACTTGCAGACCCCATGTTGGGCCTTGCCATAATTACCTTTCTGGGTTGTTTGCTATTTGTGTAAAAGCTTACTTATAGTATTCCACTAAGTAGAAACATAATCAGGTGATTTTATTATTGCCATAAATTATATATGACAATATTAAAAGAGTGTATTGTGAAATATGCAGACATTTTGAGCAACGTTAAAAAGCAAAGGCAAATCATACCTCCCAGATTGAATCGTTAAATACGTTCAACATCCTTTCTGGATTGGCAGTTTTCCACAAAAATTAGTTGTTAAATTTTTAACCATTTAGATGTTTCTTTTACCATGTTCTTTATTATTATTTTGAGATTCATTGTGTTGGATCTTCTCTTACCATCTTAGAGTTGCTCAGTTACAAAGTACAGTGTGGCTCTCTTAACTTGCAGCTTTTAAATCTTACCCAGAGTTACGGTTGTGTGACCCAGAAGTTAATTCTCTGCTCATTTTTCTTGGGATAGTGTTCTGTGTCCAGTTATAACGTTTTTGGACTTAACATCCTCTCTGAAGTGCTGTGTTGCTATACTGGATGTCATATGGAGGATAACCTTCAAAATACATTCTGATCACCAAGCAACCTTGCAGTAACGACCTTTAGTAACACCACTGAAAATAAGTGGGACGTTAACAGTTTATATACTCTAATTTTGAGACAGTAATCAAGTTATTTTTGCTATGAATGTATGTCACATAGATATTATTTGATACGAATATTAACTAAATTATCAAAGTTTGATGGTTTCCTCTAATAGAATCAGGAATTTGTTTTATTTCTTCTGGGAAAAAAATATAAAATGTGGGATTTAGTCCCTTAAGAGTATTTTTTAAATTATTTTAAAACAATTATACAAAAAAATTAATAAGCTTTTTAAGGGTATTGTTAAGAAGTTTATAGTTTTACACCAGAGACTAACACAACATTGTTAATTGACCATACTTCAATTTTTTTTAAGTTTGTAGTTTTGATTCTTAAGAATTATTGGGAACAAGGCATAAACTGATTGTCGTTACATTTTGCTACCATTTGTTTCTAAGGATGGTAAGAAGAGGTTTTGTATATTATAATTACTTCAGTGCCACCGCTTCTGTTGTAAAAGCGTAAGAACACATTGCAATTCTAACATATGCTATTTGTCTTTTAGGTTTTGGCTTGGTTTGAAGAAGGTGAAGAAACAATTACAGCCTTTGTAGAACCTTTTGTAATTTTACTTATATTAGTAGCCAATGCAATTGTGGGTGTATGGCAGGTAAGCAAAAATTACTGCAGTGCTGGACTTTGGTAGTTTATGTGATTTTAAACTACTAGTCTTTCTGTTATGTTTTGCCTCGTCTGTTACAGACTAAAAATGCCTGTGGAGCTAAACGTGTTTTTTCTTCTATTAATTTACTTAATGGCAAAATTTTAGACCTTTTATGCATGTGTACTTTGCAGTTAAAATTGCTCATCCTTCATGATAGCATGGAGTTAAGAACAAACAGTAGATGAGAGAGGCTACATAAGAAAAACCAGAAGGTTTGAACCAGTACCTGTCTTTATATTTCCTAGCTGCTTCCTGTGAAAAACTTCAGAAAAATCAGTGTTTTCTTTTTCTCTCCTTGGATTTTTTTCTTGTTATTTGTGAATTTAGCTGTAAAAATTGTTTAAATCCTAAATTGTTCTACCTTCAAAGCATACTCCTGGCTGTTTTCCCTTAATGGCCCAGTGCCCAGGTCTTTCCTACTCCCAGAGTGGAAGCTAGTTTTACTACAGAAACGTAGTAGGATCACACATTCACGTGATTGGTCTTCTGCACATAGCTAGTTTGAGACTTCTGACTTACAGTGATTTTTGTACGGCAGAAGATACTCCCATTTGACAGATGTTACGTTGAGGTTCAGAGTGATTCACTCATCAAAGGCCCTGCAGGTAGTACATGCAAAGAGTATCTGGGATTTGAATCCAGGCCCAGGCTGATCTGAATTTCAGAGTGAAATTTTATAGAAGTTTATACAGGACTTTTTCATATTTTCTTAGCTTAAAGAAAAAAATAACATTCTTAGTTATTTGTGTTTTTTTTTTAACATTCTTAGATCTTAATCCTATTTACGTAATATACAGAATGGTGCGAGCAGTGCTAGAGAGTTCTTGCTTTCTGGAAGTAAGGGCAAGTATGACTATAGTATAAGGTAGTGTTGTGGGGGAGGCGTGTGTTTCTGACCAATGTCATCAAGGAAGGCTGACAAGAAATTGGAACTATGGAGAAATGGGAGTTCTGTGGGTGGAGATTGGGGAGAATATTCAGAGTGGGGGCAACATGAGCAGAAACGTACAAAATATGTTTGAGGAATGACATTTAGACCTGTTTGGGTTTGAGTGGAGGAGGTAAGAGTTGTAAGCTTTTAAACAAAGGAAACCTTAGAAGGTCTTCTAAGTTTTTGTAGTAAGTTAGGTATATTTCTGTTTGCCCGAGCTGATCTGTTTTTAATATAACCTATTTGAATCTATGGTCATTTGCTTTCCTTTTCCACCCCCAATACTATAAATACTCCTCTTGCTAGTTTGATTTGGGGGAAGCTTTTTAAATGATTTTAATTGGCATCTTTGTCCTTGGGGTCTGAGATAATTTATCTTACAGGTTTATGCTTCTAGTTTAAGTGTACCTCTGCTGATTTTTCAGTAGGGATAAAATACAGTGCTCCTGAGAAATTTTCTTAACCTTGATCAGTCCACTTAAACTCTACCTGAAGAGAAGAAAGAAGTAAAAGTGGCACAATTCATAAATTGAGGGGGAGAAAATCCTGAGGAATAAGAAGCTTTAAATTTGACTAACTGAATAGCAGCAATGCTCAGAATTTATTCTTTCTGCAATATCCTTAGTGTTTGAACTTAGCCTGAAGGACCTTTTAGCAGTAACATTAATTTGAGTTACATATTCTAGTATTTCTGTTAATTATAAGGTGATGCAGATTCTTTAAGCAGATCGGATATGGGATTGAAATTATTTTTATCATGAATTTTGCAAATTTAGGGTTTTCTATACTTTTTCAGGGGCGTACATAAAAATTGAGACATGTATCATTAGCTTTTAGTTTTGTGTCATCTGAATTGTCTTTGTGAAAAGCCCCTAAACCTGCAAATTACAGTTTTTGCCACAAGGTGAAAAATGAGATCACATGATTTTGAGCATAAACTTTATTCAAATAAATATTAAATTGAAGAGCTTTAAATTGGAGGGCAAAAATATGAGAGAAATGAAAAAATTCTTTCCTTCATCTATTGAGTAACCTTACCTGGGCATGTACTTTGTACATTTGCTCCTTGACTTCTAATTGCTTATTTTCTGAAAGGAGAGAAGACAAATTTGGCAAAGTTGCTTTCCTTCATTCCTTCTTTCCTTCCTCCTTCTCTCCCTCCCTCTTAGCTTTTTTTCAGCATGACTCATTTTGATTGCACATCTTTTATCTTGAACTTAGGAAAGAAAAATTGTGTGTGACTAAGTCTTGCCCTGTTCATATATAATGTGGTAAATATGGTATGTGACTGGCAGCGCTATTATGAGATTCCAGCCATTTATTGGTCTTTACAACTGGAGAGAGAGTTAGAATTTGTGAGAAGAAACTTGATTTTCTTAATTCATCACTCAAAGCATTTACTTTGTGCCAAAACACAGTGTAAGCATTTTGCATATAGCTTGTAAACCCTCATAACCCTTGAGGGTAGGTACTATTTAGTGTTCTGGTTTTGTAGGCAGTAAACCTGTGTGTCATGTAACTTGTCTACAGTCACATAGGTGTCGAGTGGAAAAGCTTGGAATGAGCCTAGGCTGTCCAGTCCCAGATCCATCACCTTTCATGGGAGATGAGGTTGACTTAATAGTATGAGTGTGTGGCTGAAGGTGTGGTCCATGTCGCAGTGTGCTTAGGGACAGCAGGTTCTAGAACTGTTTTTCTCTGTTGATTTCATCTCCTTACCCCTCTTAGGGAGCTTATCTCTTCATTTTTAATACAAAATCATGAGGGCCTAGTGTTTATACCTTAAGATGTGAATTATTTACTACAAGTGGCATTAATGTGCATCTCTTGAGGCTTTTACTTTTTTTTAAGTTTAGATTGGAACTCTAAAATTTGATTCCTAGGGCTAGAAGTACTTGCAGTGGCAGGCTGTGTTTACTACTTTTAGCTTTTGTTTTCTTTTTTACAGGAAAGAAATGCTGAAAATGCAATCGAAGCCCTTAAGGAGTATGAGCCTGAAATGGGCAAAGTGTATCGACAGGACAGAAAGAGTGTACAGCGGATTAAAGCTAAAGACATAGTTCCTGGTGATATTGTAGAAATTGCTGGTGAGTTGAGTTTGTCATTTTTGTTTTATTTTAGATTGTACATCTGAATGCAGTCCTTTTCTCAAGACTCACAATTGTTTTAAAAGTTATGCTCATACATATCAATTATATTAACCAATTTTTTTGTGCCATCCAGACCAATCATGTTTTCTGTGAAATTCTTTCAAAGTGTTTCGGCCCCTCCCTTCGTGTTGTTGATAAAATGTTGATTCTACATCTTTTATCTTAAACTTAGGAAAGAAAAATTGTGTGTGACTAAGTCCTGACCTGTTCATATCTAATATTATAGTAAATATGGTATGTGACTGGCAGTGCTGTTGTGAGATTCCAGCCGTTTACTGATGTTTACTACTGGAGAGAGATTTAGAATTTAGAATTTAAAAAAAAAAGGTGTTTTGAATTAGTGTGCTTATTGCTTCTAGGGCGTTGTCGAGCACCAGTGCTGGGGAGACAGTGAAGTTAGTCTTGATTTGACAGTTAGTTGTAGTGAGTAGTTTGTTAGTTAATGGCTACATAATTTTTCTTGTTTTGGTTCTTGGCACAAATATTAAGTCATATTTGCAGTGGTCAAACTAAGTTGATGGTTAAGGGTAATTTCATGACTTTAAAAGCTCTATTTAAAAATACTTGATGTTGCACTGAGCCAGGGATCTCAGCCTGGGATCTGTCTGTGTTTGGGCTCTTAAGAGTCCATGAATCTGCTGCAAGGCCAGAGCTCTGCACAGTTCTCAAAGGGGTCCATATCCTCATTGCCCTTGATCAATGCCATGTTCTCAGGTAGCCCAGAAGACCCCGGGAGCCAGGCAGAACATCTCATCTTTTTGCTGGGGAATCGTTCCATTGGGTTATTCAAATTATCACACACCCCTGAGCTCAGAATATTTTTCTTTTTGTGAATTGTCTTATAGTAACACTTTTACACTGACTTGGGAAAGTGTGCTTTGTCTTCATTGTTTTACTTATTTTAATGAAAATTCAGAGAGCTATGTATGTCTCTTGGCCTGTGCTCTACAGTTTTAGCCTCTGAAAGTAAATTACCTGTCATAGGTATTCTTTTATCATTAAATGTTGTTATTTTTTCCCAGAAAAAGAGTGTTGCCTGTATACCAACATTTTGATTACTTAGGACTGCAAAGTGTGTGTAAATGACCTAACAGCTTACTTAATAGTGTTAACAAAAGTATAACTCAGAATGAAGTGTTTTGATCAGTGGATTTTTTTAAACTTAATTTTGACATAATTTCAGACTTAAAAGTTGCAAAAATAGTAAGAGTTCCCATATACATAGCCTTTGCCCAGATTCTCCAAATAGTAACATTTTATCACATGGGTATTACCCTCTTTCAGTCTGTGTCTTTTATATTCACACATTTTTTTCTGAACTATTTGAGAGTAAGTTGCAGGAATGATGCCTCTATTCCTAAACACTTGAATGCTTATTTTATAAAATTGAGAGCATTCTCTAAATATAACTCAAATATTATCTAAGTAAAAAAAAAAACTGATAAAATACTGTTATCTGATCTATAGACCTTACTCAGATTTTACCTTTTGTCACAGTGGATTTTACAGCACACACATGAGTTAGGGAATTCTGGTGGTGATGCAGAGGGTCCTCTTGATTCTTGATTCTTCCTTCTCTCACTCTCTAAGACCAGTTGATTCTGTCCCCAAAACACACCCAAATTTGTTCACTTCTTTTTCCTCAGTCACCATGCCTGTCCCACCATCACCTCACACTGTCATTGTGTCTCAGCAAGGCTCTGGCTTCCTTTGTCTTCCAGTCTTTTCTCTGCACAGCAGCCAGAGTTTCCTAAAGGTCGTGTTTACTCACCTGCTAAAACCCTTCAGTGGCTTCTCTCTTGCACCAGAAATACAAAATTCTTCTTGGACCTGAATGACCTTGCATTGTATGGTGCCCGCCTGCTTCTGTGATTTCCTCTTACCCCACTCCCTGTACTCTGGCCATGTAGGACTCTTTTTTTCAGTTTTCAATACCGCCAAACTTACCTGGCCTTTTTGGGTGGTTAAGCAAATGTTATGTACTTTATTAATTTGCCCAGCGCACAAATCTAACAGTGGCAAAGCTTTGGTTATAACCCAGCTATACCTGACTTCTCTTGCTCACTGTGAAATGCTGTTCCCTGTATGTAGAGTTTTATACGTTGCTCTTGATAGTTCAGGAAGGACAGATAATGACTGAGCCACAGTGTGTATGACATGGGAGTAGTATCCCTTTCTGATTTTGTTTGTTTATATTGTGGTAAAGTATGCGTAATACAAAGCTTACCATTTTAACCACCTGTAAGTGTACAGTTCTGTGGCTTTAAGTATGTTCACATCGCTGCACAGCTGTCACCACTATCCATCTCCAGAACTGTTTCAGCTTTCCAGACTGAAACTGTTGAGCAATTTCCCTTTACCTCCCTTCCTCTAGGTCCTTCCAACCACTGCCTTCCTTTTAATATTCAAAAAACATATTAAAAGATGAGTTTAAATCCCCCTCTTGAGTGAATGTACTTGCTAGTCCTGGTAACTGTTCTGAGCAGTGTGCATGTTTGGGCCCACGCCGCTTTCACCCGTTTCTGAATCCTTTGTGAAGAGTCCGTCGTTAGGAGGATACTTAACATTTTTTCCTCCAACTCTGCCCCCACTGCATGCTAATTCCTAAAAGCATGTGCAGTGCTTGGACATGAGGCTCTTATATTCTGCTCTTGACTCTGTCCATTCTGAGAGATGGAGAACAGAGGTGATACCCAGTTTTAGAGAGATAAGAACTTTTTATTAACTTTTTATTACTGCTAGGCAGTGAGCATCTTACGGGCAGAACTGTGTCACACTGACCATTGCAGCTCTGTTGCTGAGCATGTAACAAGTGCTCAGTGAGTAATAAACATGAAATCAGAAGTATAGAGTAAGTTTAGCTAATGTAAACCTGCTTATTGTGCAACTTCTGTGCAAAACAGATAATTTGAAGTCAGTAACTTAAGTTTCAGGTGTGTGCCAGATACAGCGATAAACTAGCTAGTGCTTGGTTTTTAACCATCAGCCACTCTACACACGTGTGCTGTTACAGTTGAAACTGGTTTATTGCTTGTCTTCAGCTGCAGATGATTTGCTAGAGAACACGCGGTATACTTAGCAGATGTACACACAGCATGTGTATCAGTCATGTTTTAATTTGTTGGAGGCCCAGTTCACGGTTTCTTTAGAACAGCTTAATTGAGATAATAGTTCCCATGCCATAACAGTCACTCCTTCGAAGTGTACAATTAAGTGTTTTTTTAGTATATTTGGGGTTGTACAGTCATCAACACTGTCTAATTTCAGAACATCTTTATCCCCCGCAAAAGAAACTGTATACCCATTACCAGTCACTTCCCCTGCCCTCCTTTCCACAGTCCCTGGCTACCCCAGTTTACCTTGTCTTTGGGAATTTGCCTATTCTGGATATTGTATGTAACTGGAATCATGCATGCTAGGGATGGCCTTTTGAGACTGGCTTCTTTCACTTAGTGTATTGTTTTCAGGATTCACTGATGTTGTAGCATGTGTCATATATTTCATTCATGGCTATACTGTTTTCTTAATAGTTTAATAATCCATTATTCAGGTGTGCCATGTTTTGTTTATTCATTCATCAGTTCATGGATATTTGGGTTGTTCGCCCCTTTTGGTCTATCAGGAATGCTGCTGTGAACATTTGAGTACAGTTTTTGCATGAGCATACGCTGTCACCCTCTTAAGTTTATACCTAGGCGTGGAACCGCTGGAGCATGTAGTGACTGTGTGTTGAACATTTTGAGGAACTTCCCAGCTGTTTTCCAAAGTGATTGATTGCATCATTTTACATTCCCACCAGCAGTGTGTGCAGGTTCCATTTTCTCCACATCCTCATCAACACTTGTCTTTCTGAATTTAGCCATGAAGTGACATCTCACTGTGATTTTAATTTGCACTTTACTGATTTCCTAATGATGCTGAGCGTCTTGTCATGTGCTTATTTTCTGTTAGTATATCATCTTTAGGAGAAATGTCTGTTTAAACCCATTGTCCATTTTAATTGGGTTGTCTTTAATGTTGAGTTGTAAGAATTCTTTACATACCCTGATTATCGGATAGGGTTTGCCAAAATTTTTTCCCGTTCTGGAGGTTTCTTTTTTACTTGCTGTCCTTTGTAGCATAAAAGGTTTTAATTTTTGATAAAGTCCCATTGGTGGATTTTTTTCCCTTTCATTGCTTGTGCTTTTGGTGTCACATCTAAGAAACTGTTGGGTAATCTAAATATTTGAATATTTAGTCTGTGGTGTGAAATAGGGTTGAGCTTCATTCTTTTGCATTTGTGTATCCAATGGTATCAGCACCGCTCGTTGAAAAGACCTTTGTTTCCATTGTCCAGGCACTTGTACTGGGCTGATTTCTGTCCATTTTCCACTACAAATTGACTATCATTCCATTGATCTGTGTATCTGTCTTTATGCCAGTACCACACTGCCTTGATTACTGTAGCTTTGTAGTAAGTCTTGAAATTATTGAGTGAGTCCTCTGGCTTTTTTTTTTTTCTCTCTCCTGGATTATTTTGGGTATTCTGAGTCCCTTGCATTTCCATGTAAATTTTAAGATTAATTTGTTAATTTCTGCCAAAAAAAAAAGCCTGTTTGGATTTGGTAAGAATTATGTTGACTCTATAGAGAATATAACCTTCATAGCAATATTAAATCTTCTGATCCATGACCATGGGGTGCCTTTCCATTTATTCAGGTGTCTCATTTCTTTCTAAAACTGTTGTTTTCAGCGTACAGGTCTTGTGCTACTTTTCTTAAGTTTATTCCTAAATATTTTGTTGTTTTTTGGGGTTTTGTGAGGACGGGGCTATTTGTAATTGGAATTGTTTTCTTAATTTTATTTTCAGATTGTTCCTTGCTAGTATGTAAAAATACAGTTGATTTTTGTGTATTGATCTTGTCCCTGGCAATCTTACTGAACTCTTCTAATTTTTA